TTATTATGTATAAAAAAATAACATATTGCATGAAAATTATAATTGATTTTATGTAATTGAATTTATTTAGTTGCATTTTTTACTAAAAAAATAATAGTCAAACTTCTTTAAAGGTGGACTTTTTGTACAAGTTTTGGACCATTTACAAACTGATTGAAGTCAGATTCACAGAGAATGAGAAATTGCTGTCTTTCTATCGCTGTCGAGAACTTTTAACAGTTTTAGATGGAATGTTGGTTTCGGATGACAGAGTTGTTCTATCTCGAATAATATGTCCGACCGTTTTGGAAACTTTGCATTTAGCTCATTTTGATATACGACGTATAATACAGCTTATTCGTCGTTATTTCTATTGGCCTGCTATGCACAATGATATTGAAAGATTTATCAAGAATTGCAACCATTGTATTCAGATTGCGGCAGCTCCTCGTGAAGAATCTCTCCATCCTTAGCCAATCTCTAACAAATCTTCAACTCATAGGGAATTCATAGATTTTGCTGGACCATTTAAAAAACAATAGATTTTAATAATAGTGCACAGTTTGTCGAAGTTTGTTGATGCAACCTATTTTTCTATGATCACGACGTCTGCAACCTGCTATTATTTTAAAAGATTTTTTAGTCGTTATGGGTTATCAGAAGTTTCGAATAATTGATTTGTTTCGGATAATAAAATTCAATTTACTTCGGAAGATTTTGCGCAATTATGCTCCCAGTTTAATATTTTACATCTGAGGAGTCCGTCCGGACATTCATAATCAAATACTCAAGCGGAAAGTGGTTTGCATCATTAAGCGTTCAATTGATCTAAATTCTTCATTTTTTAAAGACGAAATGAATCGTTTCCTTTAATACATTTTATATAATTACACATCTTGTGATGGAGCTCCAGAACAGAAATCTCCTGCAGAAATCTTTTTCGAACGCAAGTTCAGAATTCCGTTCGATCTTTTATTTGATTTTTCGATCTTTTAACATGATTTTTTTTTCTCAGTAGGTAGTTCCTCTTACTCGACACAAGGAAATAAAACAGTAATTTGATTTTCACCATGGCGTTAGGTCACATCTTTTTGCTGCAGAGCAACCGGTTATTATTAGGTTGTTTAATGGAAAACTTATTCCAGGAACAATTGATAAGTTAATTGGCTTCACCATGGCTCAAGTCAGCTTTGAAAGAGAGTACTTCATGCGACACAATCAAATTTGGAATCGAATGCCTTCTTTACTAGATAACCACTGGATATAAGTCTAACAAAGACTATTCTTTTACGTTGGATCAAACTGCCAACTACTTTCCTCGAAACTGCCCGAGAATTCCGAGAATCTTGCTAGCGCATGTGTTCTTGCTGCCAGTGTGTTCTCTTCTTCAGGCAAGACTGCAGATTTATCTCCTACTTCAAGTGAAATTACAACTGTGATTAGCGACTTGACTAATCCCAAGCTTCCATACTCCGAGAGTGATGTCCAATGCTCCGAACATCTCTTAAAGTAATCTCGTCTGAGTTATAAAGAATCTTACTGTCTCAGAAAGTTCCATCCTAATACGCGCTTAATCGCATCTCGCATTGATCGATTAAGCGCGTTCGTCTGTCGCTCTTTGGGCGAATGTATTTTATTTGAAGAACTGAATTGTTCGAAATCTATGGAATTTTCTCGTGTTATTCTAAATCAAATAAATTTTCGTTTCATTGAATATTGAGTCGAGCGAATTTCTCAAACCTTCACGCTACTCAAGAACTCATTGAAGGAACTTAATGTAGTCGGATTTTTCCTTCTTTATTTATTGAGGCCGAGTTAGTATTTACTATTCCTGCATATAACTTCTTGTATTCACATACTAATATTTATGATGAAACTGATTCAATAGATAAAAATATAAAATCGAGTTTATATAAAAAAAATATATAATTTTGAATTTAAAAAATATAAAAATTTTTCAATACTAATTAAGGCGAACAATTATAATTTGCATCAATATTAAATCTTATTGACACGCAAAATTAAAAAAGTTTTTCTAAATAGAAATATAATTATTATTCAGCTAATTATGTAATAATTCTAATTTGTTACAGATTCTTTATGTGTTAAATCAAATGCAGCAATTGATAAAATTCACATTTATGTTTTCTGCAATGTTAATTGACTTGATGATTATATGTTATTCTGGTCAAAGATTAATGGATGAAAGTCAGGACATATTTTATCGAGCGTAATATTTATTTTATACTTTAATGATTGTAAGAATAAATTTTGAACAAAAATAATAATATAGTGCTCCAAGCACATTCGAAAGATCTATTAAATGTAAACTTTGTTCAATTTTAATTTAAAATACTTTACCTAAAATAATTTAAGAAATACATAAATAGGTAAAGAAAATTATATTTAATGAAGGCCGATCTTGGTTTAACTCTCAAATTCCACACTGATGCGAATTAGCACTAGCTAAAATTTCCACTTGTGCTGTCTCGTATTCTCACTCTTTTAATCCAATACTCCTCTACATCTGTAACGCCTCCTTCAGTTTGACTCCGAGTATTTCTTCATTCTACTATGAACCCCTTTGCTGCCAAATATCAAGATTATTTATTTTTCCCTAGACACAGATCACTAAGTTCCGTGCTTTCTTCTACACCTCAGTCAAATATTTCAATTCTCTTCCTGTATCAATAAAAACCTTTCCCTCTGTCCACTTTTCATTTTACTGCTTCACGTTTCATCGCATCATTCACGATTTTTAAGCGGGATTGATGGAATCGCGTACGTGCATGCGTGCGTGCGTGCGACATACTAGTATTTTATATATACATACGTTTTTAAAGTATGATTGTATACCTATATTACTTCATCATTTATTGTATCTCTGTCTATGCCTGGTTTTTGTTGCTGGTAGGTTTTTGTTGCTTTGTAACAGCAGTTTTATTGATGTCTAACCATTTGTAAGCTACTATTGTACCATATTTTACTCTGTTAACATATACATAATCTATTTATAGAGCCTTGCAATAAAGTAAATTAAATTATATCCATTTTCATAATAAAATTAAGGACGCAATAGTCAACTTCGCACCAGTGTGGAAGTTATGGATGCAAGGTCGGGGTGTAGAATTTTAATAATTTTTTGTATGATTTGAAGGTTAATAATTTTTATCATTTCAATTCAAGCAAACTGCATCGATTTGTTTTAAAACGCTTCTACAATAGAAGTCGTAGTGGTCGTAAGATCTTAAAGAAAATTAACCAATTACAGTCAAATGCAAGAAGAATCGATTATGATTGATCATCTTCTACAACTTAAGACTTTCCGACCACTACAACTTCTATTGTATTAGAGACTAAAGTTGGAACAATTTCTTCGTTAATTTTTGCTTAACAATGTAAAAATATAACTGAAATATAAAGTATTACATAAGTTAATTATTTTAACTCTTATAAAATACATAAAAAAAAATTTTTTTTTTCGAAAATTTTATTTAAGGCCATTATGCTTACAGATATGCTGCAGAATGGTACAAATTTTCGCCTCGATTAAAATCTTTGCTGATGATGACCCTTTACAGAAGTAATATTCCATGTGGATTGAAAGCAGGTAATATGATTCCGTTATCCATCG